CAGCTTTACAAGGACGCTTGCCCAAACTTTTTATTGTCCCACAAGGCCAGGCTTGAGCCCTCCTCCCCAGCAGGTCCTGGGATCCTATCAAGTCTATTTCTCATCCCAGTTCCAGAAGGCTGCCCTGGACAAGTAGCCCTTATACTAATGACACCAAGGTCATGACCTTGAGCCTCACAAAGTGGCCAATTTGATCCCCTGGGGAATCCTGGATGCAGGCTTTGGAAGCAGGGCTTTGTGCATCTTGGATACAAGGAAAGAGTACAGAAGGCCAGCAAGGTCCAGCACTGGGGCCGAAAGGCTCAGGAGACAGCGGCGTTGCCACCAGGGGCTGTGTGAGTAGTTCCTCGTATTCCCCTGCCCTCGCTGTGTCAGGCCCAGCCGAGCACCTCACACAGCTAGATCTTCCATTCAATCTCAATTATCCCTATTTCATCGATGAGAAAATCAAGGCCTGGAGAGGGAAAGAGTCATTCCCTGGGCCTTCCCCTCAAGGAAATGCTGGCATGGAAATGCAACCCACTCTCAGCTTTGCAAGCAAAAACAGGCACGGGAAATAGCCCACTCCATAATGTTCTCTGGAGTGTTTTGGACCAGAAGCAAATAATTTTATTTCCCTGTATGGGTCAAATGGGAAGTATTTTAGGCTCTGTAGCCCCTGTGATCTCTCTCTCTCTCTCAACTCTGCTTAGGAGAACAGCCCTCAGAGGATGGACATGGCTATGTTCTAATAAAACTTTATTTACACAAACAGGATCTATTTATCCTGGATTATGAACCCTGTGGGTGTCACTTGCAGTCTACCTCTGGCTTCTGTTTTCTGTTATGCTGACAGGCTTTCTATGTTCAATACATCATCCCAGCAATAGGAGGACGAGACAACCAACATTCACTCAGACCGTTTTTGTGCCAGAGGCTTTGGCCCACCAGAGCGCTGAGTACTACAGTAGGACGGTAATAACAGTCCCTTTGTTTAACAAGGGATAAACAGTTTCCCAGAGGCCCAGTGGCCTGAGAGTGCCTGGAGCAACACAACCGGGCTTTAAATCCCCCTGGAAGCCTGCACCTCTGCCACAACCACAGCGGTTCCGATCAGTTGGCATCACACATCTGTATTCTCCCCACAAACAGGAGGGAAAGGGGGTGGTCTCGGCAGGTCAGGAGACAGCATAAAAGCAATCTCAGTTTTAACTCCTTCCTCCATGGGTAACTGGACATCTGCTATGGCCACAAAAATAAGCCCAGTGGTCCCTCAAATTCACTGGGACTTCCAGGATCATTCAGTCCCATGCACGGAATCCACCAATCTCCACCACAAGCCCAGCGCTATCTTTCCAACTTCTTCCTAGCTAGAATAGCAAAGGCAATCCTGGGCAACAAAGACAAGGCAGGAAGAATTACAATTCCTGACTTGAAATTATACTACAAGGCTACTGTGATAAAATCAGCATGGTATTGGCAACAAAATACACCTGAGGATCGATGGAATAGATTAGAAGACGGTGAAGTATGAACACACTCAGCCACCTTATCTTTGACAAAGGGGCCAAACGTAGTCACTGGAAGAAAGATAGCCCTTTTAACAAATGGTGCTGGAAAAACTGGCTCTCTACATGCCGAAAACTAAAACTTGACCCAGGTCTATCACCATGCACTAAGCTAAAGTCAAAATAGATGAAAGATCTGGACGTTAAAACAGAAACACTAAATCTCCTGGAAGAGAAAGTAGGAGGATCTCTTGAAGACATGGGGTAGGCAAAGAGTTCATGAACAAAAATCAAATGGCATGGGAAACACTTCAAAGAATGAACAACTGGGACCTGCTCTTCTTGAGAAGTTTTTGCATGTCAAAAGAAATTACTGGGGGCCGGGAAGTTGGCTCAGTGAAATAAGCACTTCCCTGGCAAGCACAAGGGCCCGAGTTCAATCCCCGGTTCCGCAAAAAAAGAAAGAAAGAACCAACAAAGTGAAAAGGCAACCCACAAATTTGGAAAAAATCTTGACAAATAAATACTCAGACAAAGGTCTGCTCTCTAGAATTTATAAAGAACTAAAACACATTAGGGCCCCAAAATTTAAAGACCCAATCCAGAAATGGGCATCTGAGATGAACACACACTTCTCAGAGGATGAAATTAAAGAAGTGAATAAATATATGAAAAAATGCTCCACATCACTAGCCATCCATGAAATGCAAATTAAAACAACATTGAGATATCATATCACCCCAGAAAGAATGGCTATCATAATGAAATCAACCAACAACAAATGTTAGGCTGTGGGGGAAAAAGGAACCCTTCTTCACTGCTGGTGGGAATGTAGACTGGTGCAACCGTTATGGAAATCAGTGTGGAGACTCCTTAAAAAATTAGAACTGGAAGCCCCATTCAAACCAGCTATTCCTCTACTGGGAATTTTCCCAGAGGATCTGAAAACATTGTATCATAGTGATATATGTGTACCTATGTTTTTTTGTTTGTTTTTTATTTATTATTATTTTTTTACAACTTATTTATGGGGGCGGGCAGCTCAACCCACCAGGGGGCGGCCCTGGCTGGCATGTGGTGCTGGGGGATTGAACCGCGGTCCCTTTGCTTTGCTAAGCTTGTTCTAAGTAGGTGCTTTAGACCACTGAGCCATCTCACCAGCCCCATGTGTACCTATGTTGATAGCAGCACAATTTGTGATAGCCAAATCTTGGAAACAACCAAGATGCCCATCACATGAGGAA